TAAACATGATTGTTAAAGCTGGCATCACATGTAAATTCTGTTTATAAAAACACCTACAGGAGTTAAATATCTAAGCTCCTTAAAGTCCTTGGTAAGATAAAATTAAGTACCAGTATGAGGATGAGTAGGCTGGTTGAATTTTATCTTCTGGTATTTCTCCAGACAGCATCCACCTGCCCTGGAGTGAAATGAACTTGAAGGATGCCATGAGGGTTTAGAAATCAAATAGAAATTAAAGGGACACTGACGTTTTCTTTTTGATTTTGCTGGAGAGCTCACTGTCAAAGTCACTTACTCCTTTGGAATGTATGTTTAAGCACTGGAAAGTATCTCATCCTGACACACTGAAAAAAGAGCAGTTTACTACTTTTCGGTACCTGCATATGGCCTGTCTACCCAGCAGAGCCAAGACATAAAGCAGAGAAAGTATTGATTTCAATGCACATAACTAGAATTGTACTTAACAGAGAGGAAATATGGTCAAAATTGCCTTATGTCCAAACTTTCTTTGCATTAAAAATAATTAAGAAATAATCCTTAATTTTTGTTCAAAATGTCAATATGAGACACAGGAAAATTAGATACCTCTTGCCTCTTAAAACATCCACTATCTCTGAGCCTGAGGGTGCTCCTCCTAGACCTTTGGAGCCTGAGGACAAGGTTTGCCAGACAACCTTAAGCAAAGGCTTACCCACTATTACTGAGTCTGAGGCTTCTCAAGAACTACTTGCCTTTTGGGTCCTTAATGTAAAGCTTCTAGGCCAACTATGATTAAACATGAGACTGTATCGATTCTAAACTGATTTTGTTCAAGCTCCTCAAGGTCAATATCCCTTACAGAAAGTAAACAGGGAATTCAGAACTACCTTCGTTCATGTGACCCTTTACTCTCAGTAACCTGAAACAGATTAGGCAAGATCTAGGAAAGTTTTTCAGATGATCCTGATAAGTACATTAAGGTTTTAGAGCACTTACTCAGACCTATGAACTTAGTTGAGGAGACACAATGGTAAACTTAAATCATTGAATGCCAATGAAAGACAATGGGTACAGACTTCAATCTGAATTTCTTGAGTATATTACAGATATCCAGGGATACATATTTTCAGAATAGATTTAAATAGAGCCTAGCCAGCACTGTTGTAAAGGAAATTTACCTAGGTGACTGGACAGAGAACCCAAAATGTCTCAAAGACCTATTTGTTCTAGGGCCAAGATTTTTCCTGGGCTATTACCTGCCTTTGTCTGTCCCAGGAGGCAATAGATCTCTTTTGCAGGCTGAGATTTGAAACTTTCAATTTAGAGTCATTTATTAGAAAATAAGCCTTAGATAATTAGAACACTTTCATTTTCTCTCTTTCAAAAGGTTAAAAAACAGTCATTTAGGACCTTTGATTATTGGTTTCATTTTCAATTTGGCAGGATAGGTGGAATCAATCAGAACTTGTTTCTGGAAGCATGCTTTGCTAAGCATTAGAGCTCCATTCTGGGAAAGCTGTTAGTCTTAATTGTCTCTCTGCACCTGAGATGATTACGTTTTAGCTCATATTTGGAGTCATTCTTCTGTCCCTTTTCTACTGCCCTGCCCCCGAAAAATAATACAGCTTATAGCAGTATTTGGCCCAAAACAATTTTCTCCTCTGTGGCTGTTGAATTTCAGGAACACATTTCCAGAATGGTGAGTTTCCCCTCCCTGGTACTTTTCCAGAGTAAAACTGATCTTCACTTATATCTGGATCATATTTAAAAAACGTATCTAGATTTAATCCTGAAGCTCTTGAAGAACAGATGTGCAAATTTTAGTCCAAGTTTATCTATCTTTTAGGTCTTAGACAAAACTGGAGCTTAACTTCTTCTACTACTCTCTTTCCTCAAGAATGATGCTGACTGGTATTTATAGGACAGGACCCACTGATTTTTATAACACAGATAAGCTCGATGATAAAACAAAACATTCCTAGGGAATCTTATGAGCTTACCAGTTTTAAATGAAAACAAAGATTAAAAATTAGGCACCGCCCCGGTTCACAGGGGACTGCCTCTCTTTGTGATTTCTCTCCAAACCATCTTGCCAGGCTAGCTTCTATTCTCAAAGATATGACAATTGTGACTCTAAAATAAAAGGCCAATATCTAAGAACAATCTAAGAGTCACAGCAAAATGATTAAGACTGTCACAGGTGGACCTATAGCAGGACAAAGTGAAGCCATGGCAGGCCTTCTTCCTCCTGCTGTTTTAAATTCCTACTAGCCCCTAAGAGTGCCACCTCCTCTCTTTCTACACCCAAACGTGGGCTTCCTGAAAACAGTTAAAATTACCTTCAATAGTCTGCCCTACACGTGACTATCAAAACAATGATGAGAAGCCTATATAGCAAGATAGCCTAATCAGATAAACCATCGGGTGAGGGTCCATTTTAAAAAGTTTCTTTGTTTTTACTGATTTTTACTACAAAGGATCACTGTTAATTTACTTACAAAATGTTCTCACTAATATATTTATGGTTATAAACTTTAAAAATTGTAAAAGAAGTTATGATGAAATACATCTGAGTGCACTCTGGCTTGTTAACAACTGTCATGTGTGCCTGTTTATCTGTTCAACTTGTGACATTACAATACAGCTATTTTTGTTTTATTCACTTTGCCTTTTTGGATGTTTAAAATATTTGTCTATAACTCAGGTTGGCTTATAAATGTCATTAGAGTTAGGGATATGATTCTACCCAGGTTGCCAACTGAAGAAAATGATGTCGACTGCAGCCACCCATTCAGGACCCCTTTTGTCTCTCTTAGAAGCTTTCTTTGTGGTAATACTTTCAGCTCTTAACCTCTATTATTCCCTATAACTCATTCCTCAGTTTTCAGGAACACGAAGTCAGTGTATCAGATATCTAACAGATTTGGAGTTATAATATTTTCCTTATATTATTTAGATTATTTGCACATCCTACATCATCCCTATGTTATCCCTAAATGATAAGTGTGCCAGGATCCTGGAATGGATGGATGCCCAGAACAGTTCCCAAAGCTCTGCGTGTGGACTTCTCCTGAGTACTCAAGTGAGTTTTCCATAGGAAGGCCCTGACCTGAGGTCAGCCTGAGGAATGGAAGATACAAAAAAGATGATCCACACTGAGCTTTGGCTACTGTTCTGCCTTGCATGGTGGCACATTCTCATGCTGTAGGATATATTTTTTTTCATACTTTTACTTGGCCCTATCTCCCTCTGCAGAGCCTGTTTCTTCTCCTACTTTTAATAAAATTTTGCTATTTGTGCTTGTTTTGTGCCAATTTTTTGCTCAGGCCAAAAAGAACCTAGAAACCACCTCCAGAAGAGGACTTCAGCACTCCAAAACATGATAACAAAGCTACAATAAATGAGAAATTAGAACCAATACTGAGGTAAGATAGAAGTGAAAACTAGATCAAAAGGAGATAAGGAAGTTGGAATTTGTAAAAAATTATACTTTGAAGAAAAACTGCAGGTTCAAAAAACAAACCCTGTTTACTTTTTTCTTTCTTTCCCAACACAGAGTAAAGGGGCTTGCCCCTTCACTGTTTACTTGGAAATGGTCCCCTTTCCCCCATGAGTGGGCCACACTGTTGAGATTTCCCAGACGACTGGATCATTATCTCACCACAGGTGGGCCATCCTCTCCAACCCCAATAGACAAGACAGACTACAGATGAGCAAATTCCACATACTCCCACTACTCAAAACAGATCCCCAGTTTCCAGCTGCATTGTGCCTCACTTCTCTGAGTACTCACACTCTGCTCCTGAGTGCATCCTATGTCTACATCTAATAAACCCTTCTCATGTTTCTTTCACTGACATGTACTGAAAATTTTTTTTTCCCTGATGGGAATAAGTGAACCTGCAAACCTATTTTAAAAGACTATGATGTTCTTATTTCAGCATAGGAGACCTTCCAGATCCAGCCCAGTGACAATACCTCTGAGACTGCAGTACACTGTTGGCAAATACCATTTTTTAAAATGATATTAAAATTTTTAAAAAGCACATTTATGTATAGAACCATACTGTCCAAAAATGAAATATAATGTAGCTACAAGTATATTTTAAAATTTTCTAATAACCTGGTCAACAGGTTATTAGAAAACACAAGCTAAATTAAATTTAATGTTTCTAGTTAACATATCCAAAATATTATCATTTCAATGTATAATCAATGAAAACTCATGAGATATTCCACGTATAGTAAGACTTGAATCCAGCCTGTATTTTACATTTATAGCATAAATGAATTTGCCTTATGCACAGCCTAGCAGTCAGTAGCCACATGTGACTAGCAGCTACATTAATGACAACCAAAGAATAAGGGCAGAGACAAAGTATGTATAGATATATACATAGATTATCAATATTTGACCCTTATCTTTCAAGTAGTTTCTTCTTTATTCATCAATGATAAATCTTTGTAAACATAATATAAACTACAATATCTTTTAAATAAAGGATTATAATAAACAGCAAGTTCTTTACTTAGTATTTGTTATGGTTTAATCTTAAATGCACACCCAAAATTCTGATGCATTAACCTACTAATGACTTAGGTAGGGTCTGGTAGGAGGTGAGCTCCCAGGAGTATGACCTGGAAAGGTATATTTTTATCCTAGGCCCTTCCTTCCTCTGCTTCCTGGCTGCATGGGATGAGCAGCTTTCCTGTATCAGGTCCTTTCACCATGTCATTTCTGCCTCAGAACCTGCAGACTGCGGCCCTAACTCTCTGAGACTGTGAGCCAAATAAATCTGTTTTTAAATTGTGGGTATCACATACTTTGTCCCAGTGATGGGAAAGCTAAGTATGGTACATTCATAGTATGTTTTAGAGTGGAATAGTTTCACTAGTGTAAAATCTTTAAAAGTGGAAAAAATATTGTGATTTATTTAAATCTATTTGTTGAATCCAAGTTAAACTTAGAAAGGTTCTTGGGCATCACCCATCATTATTCCAGTTTTAGTGCCAGCCCTTACCTTTTGGAACTGCAGGTTTAACTGCCATTCTGCCAACCAGACATTCTTTCAGCATGGATTCATAATTGACCCAACGGTGAACCTGGCACGGGAGATAAACACAGAGAAGTAACATGACTAATTCCGCAAGATTCTCTTATTTTATCACTAGCAAAACTAAACCTTCTTGAACACTCTATGACAGATAAAAGCAGTGTTCTTAAAGTGTAGCCTACAGACTTTTGAAGGCTTCTGAAACCCTTTTAGGTACCTATGAGGTCTCAATTTCTTCCATGAGAATACTAAGATGTTGCAGTGGAACCTCGGTTGATGAGTTTAATTTGTTTTACAATTTTGGAGAAGATGGACACCTTTAGGCTTTGTGTGAGAAATGGCTGTGGTTGTCTTTGTCACTCTGTTTGCAGTGTGTGAATGGAAGCAAAATTTGGTCAAACACTTTTGTTTAAGAACCAATTGTCTGTGAACAGAGGTACTACTGTATTTGGCTTTTCCTTAGTTTTCAGATTTGCAATGATTCTATCAGCAATGGTGGGTAAACTGCACATCAAGACAGTGATTCCAAACTGCACTGGTAGTAATTTTTCATCACTGTGAGGTTGGAAGGAGATTTAACAGGGTCCTTCAGAAAATAGGAAAATTATTAATTTACTTAAATCTGGACAATTAGGATAGGTTTTCATATATTTGTGTGACAAAATAGGAAATTCCCCAAAACCACGTCAATGATGTGTTTGGTAGTCACCTTATAAAAAACCTTACCAACTGTCTGATTTGCAAATTGAATGGAATTTCTCTTGAGGGGCCACTAACACATGAAAGAGTAACTGATGAACAAACTGGTTATTCAAACTTTGGTACTGATTTAACAGGTGTTTTCTTGAAAATCAACAAAGTAAAATGATTACTTTAAGGAAAACAACTGACAGCCATTTATTGCTAAAAGTGGGAGTAAAATTTAAACAACTTTTCTAAAAAGCACCTTCTCAATATACATAAAAGCCTTAAAATGTTCAGTCCTTTCATTTGGATACTATATTTAGGAATTTACCCAATGAAAGGTTCTTGCTCTAGTATTCCTTATTGTACAATTATGGCGGTGGTCTAACATGATGGAAGGCCAAAGTGGAACGCTTACCACTTCCTGCTTCTTCTTCAGCCCTAACTGCACCTCCCCATCCTGTCTACATGCACAGAGAATTCTCCTCACTGTCATCCATATCTACCCCATGCGCCCCTTCGGATCAGAGATCATAAGCCCTCTGCCTCTCTGTGTCTGGTTGAAGGAGAGAGCCCAAACGCCATGGTTCGTGTGCTCCTTTCCACGTCCTCAACTCAATAAACCTGTTCATTTTGTACTTTTTGCTTTTCTATTGTACCAGAACACTCTAACATTACGGTGCCTTGAGACCTTATGGCAGAGTGCGTTAGCTCCTGTGAGTCACTCCCAGTCCCAGCTATCCTGCCTATGAATTACCTTTTTTATCCTCTGGGACCTGTTTATTTGTCACCGCTAATCTGCATGTAACACGGACCCTCATGACTCATCACAGGAGAGCTACTGCCTGGGGTTTTCTGTTTCTGTTCCTAAAATTCGCTAGCCTGAGTCAGAAAACCTACCCACTGCCATCCCTGGACAGAGATAGTAGTTTTCACATTCCTTGGACAGCATGAGGAAAAACTGTTACCCTCTTGTTCTCTGGGACCTTGCCCCGCACTCCTCAGTGATGGCCGATGAGAGTGTGTCATACTTTCAAAACAGGTGATGACTTCTTTTGATAAGTGGATCCAGGACAGCTTCCACGTTCCTTGGGGGGGGGAGCTAACGCTCCTATGTCCCCAGACAAAGTTGTTCCCTCAGCTGACTCATAATTCAGTCATAGGGACCATTTCCTGTCCCCCAAAAAACACACCTCTGAGGTGCCTGGTTCATAACCTTGGTGCTTTGGCCTCAAGAAGGCTATAAAAAACCAAAAATCTGATCTTTTGTTTATACTTTTGTCACAATGGTGGCAAGCTGACAGAAAATCCTCATTTTTAGATCTTTTTCTCTTTGAGGATGTGTCCTTCTCTGGCTCTGTCTTGTATGATGGCCCAAATACTTCTGGCTCGCTCTGCTCCATCAGGAACTCTCCCTCCCTCCCCACTGGACCCCTCAGATGATGCATCTCCTGTTTTTATGGCTCTTCCACCATATCTCCAAGACCAAACGCTGCAGCTTTCTCAGCCAGAGGTTTCCGTGCCCCCTGCGCCATCCTCTCCCCCTTCCTCACCCCAGCGGCCTCCAATCCTTCCCTTAGTTTCTCTCCCCAGTCTCAGATTTCTCATCCCCTCCACCTGAGCCATCTATTCCGACAGACAGCTCTTTTTTGTGCCCTACTCCTGCGTGGCCATCTTCCCCACCGGCTCACTGTGCCCAGTCTTCTCAGCCTCACTTCCTTTCCCCCTTACCAACAGGCTGGTCCCAGGAACTAGGTCATATGCATGGTCTTTTCTCCCCTAACTGACCTATCTCAGAGTAACCATAAGTTAGTTCCTTTTCTGTTATTCTTAATTCAAGAGATCTATATTAATTAACCTAAAAAAAGGTTTACACTAATCTATTTATTGTAGTTCAAATTGGCCAAATATATTTGAGGGCACTCTGGTTTTGTAAGATGTTTGTCAGTCTATATATCTGTTGTCCGTCTTTATACTGTATGGATCATCTGTCCATGTTTGTCCATTTGTCTGCTCTGTAAACAGCTGCTCCTTTTTTATTTGCGCTCAACAATCTTTTTTTTTTCTTTTCTTTTACATTTTCAGATCATTAATCAAGTTTTTGGGGGGGTTATAGATTTAAAAGGCATGCTTCCACCTAGGTTGTCAGCTGACCAACATGATGCTAAAACTGGTTAAACAAAATCCCTTGAGGTGAGGAGAATGTGGACAAGACTTCAACTGATGAATAAGAAAGTGGCCACCTGGGGGCTGGGGATTTAGTTCAGCGGCCTAAGCGCCTGCCTTGTAAGCAGGCAGTTGTGAGTTCAATCCCTGGTACCGATAAAAAGGAAAGGAAAAAGACAAAAAAAAAAAAAAAAAAGAAAGAAAGAAAGAAAGTGGCCACCTGGTAACTTTAAACAGCTGTTATTCATTAATCAGAGGTCCCAAAAATCTCCATAGTCTCATGGCAGATACCCCAACTAAAATTTACATATAATTCATTACAGATAATTCATTGTTGCTGATCTTATGGTATATTCATACCTTCAAATATAAAATTGGAATTATTTATGATGATAAATATTTTCTTTCAGATCCAGACATCTGCCTTTTTAATTGTGTTCCAGCCAGGAAAGCCATGTCAAACCAACATGAGGTCACCAATCAACTGATAATTTTAAACAAAAATTTATGTAATGTATGTTATACTTAGAGATGCTTAAATATTGAGCAGTCCAAACAACATCACTAATTTCTTCAGTGCCCAAATGTTAAAACACCCAAGGTTAATAAAAAATAGCAGATGCATTTAATGTTCTATGTTAAGCTTACTGCTTTTACTATACTGTACTATTATCAATCTTTTCTTCTGGATGTTCAACAACTAAAAGTAAGAGATAATTATAAATTCCTTTTAGATTCCTTTTACTGAGATCCATCATATCTTTTCCAGAAAAACATTATAGGATGCATATTGGGGCCATAATTAATGACATCACAGCTGATCTCTCTCATAAATAAAAAAAGGTAAAATTAATAAAACAGGCCATCCTCCAAAATCAGATGGCATTAGACATTCTAACAGCACAAGAAGTATATATACAATTGTAAAACCTAAATGTGTGTATGACAAATAAATGACAGGTCAGTTTGTGAAGTTCCCTGGACCTTGTCCTTATCCTCCTTATGGGAAGCCATTACTAAAATTATACTCATAAATACTCTGTTAATTCTATTATTTGGCTCCTGCATACTAAATTGATTCTTTGCCTTTGTCTCCTTAAAGCTATACACCTACCTAAGATAAAAATGCCTGCTATCTACTGAGGGCCACTAGTTAAAAGCCCTACAGAATATCCCTGACTGCTGTTCAACAACTTCTAACACCCTTCAGCCTAAAAAAGCCAGATCAGTCATCACCCATTAACTCATGGCAGTTTGGGTTACTTCTTCAGAGGAGGAATGTTACAGGCAGCTAAGTCAGTTAAAAATATTATAGGCAGTCCGACAGGACTAGGGCCTCAAAAGAGTCAGCACAGAAGACCAGATGTCTTGTGACTCTGGAGGAGATGGATACCTCCTGCTGTGGGACAGATCCCAGGACAAAAGGCTACGGTTGGCCCTCAGACCCCATAGTGAGATCTTCTTAATATGGCTTTTTGTGTTTTCAACAACAGAGACAAAAATAACAATCTGATCTTTTAGCAGTGACACTTAGAGCAGTAAGACAGGTAAACTGAGACAAGGTGGAGCTGCCTGAGCCCCTCCTGGACCATGCTTCAAGTGCAACAAAAGGGATGCTGGGCAAGAGAGTGCCTCTTCTGCAATCTCAAGGGCCATTGGAAGAGCGACTGACCTAGCTGCCAGAGAGCGGGTAAGCCATCCTCTAACTGCTTGTCCTCACATGAGATCTCATCACCACTGGATTCATCACTGGCTGATCTACTTGGACTCGCTGCTAAAGACTGATGGGACTTGGGGCCATAGCTCCCACTAAGGAATCCTTCTCAGAGCCCCAAGTCTCACTGGAGGTCTCAGGTACGACACTCTGTACTTGTAGACACAGAGGCCATGCATAATGTTCTTCCTGAGTTTTCAGGCCATTATATTAAATCCTCAGTCTCTGTAGAGGATGTTGACAGCCAACTTACACAGCCTCTACAAACAGGGCCCATTCCACGTAGGCTGAATCACATTTGGGAAATTATAGAGTAAGGATGGGGAGGGCCACACAAGATCTTAGACCTACAGGAGTTGCATGTTTAACTAAACAGCTAAGGGTGGAGATAACTAAGATAGTTATAGTGAAAAATTAACTAATAAGGGATCAGGAACCAAATAGGATAACAAAACTTATTCACTCTCTCTCTTCTTCACCCATAGCTTTCTGGTAATTCCAACATGTCCCACATCCCTTTTAGGTAGGGATCTTCTCCAAAAGCTTAATTTCTCCTTTACCTTCTCCCTCCCCACAGCTCCTATCCTCCAGACAACACCACAATGTGTGGTAAAGCGATCCGCTCCTCTCTCTTCTCTGGTTGGCCCCATAGTTTAAAACACCTCCAACCCCACCAGCACTACCCATGCACTCTCTGCCTGTTTTAATTCGTCTCAGGGATCCCTCAATTTTTCCTTGCATTCCCCAATATCCTATAGCTCCCAAACATTTATGGGGATTAAATCTATAATCAAGTGTCTTTTAGACAATGGTTTTCTTAAACCTACCCATTCACCCTAAAATACTCCCATTCTCCCAATACTCAAGCCTACTGGGTCCTATTGTCTGATAAAAGACCTTCCAGTAATCAATGACACTGTTACTCCAATTCACCCAGTGGTGCCGAATCCTTGTACTACGTTCTCTCATATCCCTCCCTCCACCACTCACTTTATAGTCCTAGACTTTAAAGATGCTTTTTTTTTTAACCATCCCCCCATACCCTCATTGTCAGGAGTACTTTGTGTTTATGTAGACTGACCTAGACACTCTCAGGTCTCAACAACTTACACCTGTCATCTCTATATTAGAGCCTCTCCTCAGGGACACATACCACCCCTTTCCTTTTCTACTCACCCATGGTCAGGACTGGCAGATAAATTTAACACACATGCCCACCACAAAACTTTCAAATATCTTCTCACTTTTGTCTGCACTTTTTCAGTATGGATAAAAGCCTTTCCCACAACCAGAGAGACTGCTGATATAGTTTCTAAAGTCCCATTACAAGAAATCACTCCAAGTTTTGGTCTACCTCAGAGTATCCAGTCAGACAGTGGTCGAGCCTTTATTTCTCAGATCTCTCAACAGGACTACAACTAAAATGGAGGGCCCCTATCTGATCTTCCTCAGAGCTTCCACGGTGGTCAAGCTCACTAGACTACCATTCTGGTTCCACATCCCTCAAGCTGAGTGTTGCCCTCCTAACCTTCACTCCCCTGACTCTAAAGATCCTGAGTGGTCATCTCATTTCCTATCTCCATCTCACCAAGGCCCCTCAGCCACACTTTTCAGGCTAGGTCATGTTTTGTTATCCTATTTGGTTCCTGATCCCTTAAATTCTATTAGTTGATTTTTTCACTCTCCTAGTTATCTCCACCCTCAGCTGTTTAGTTAAACATGAGACTCCTGTAGGTCTAAGATCTTGTTTGGCCCTTCCCACCCCTACTCTGTAAATTCCTAAACATGATTCAACTGTCAGGCCTTATGTTTCTCATGCTTCTTATTCTTTGCAGCTCAACTCCTGGACCAACAACAAGTCCTACCTACACTTTTAACTTTCATCCTTTCAGATGAGAGAATAATTACCTCAAATAATTACCTCTCATAACTTTACCCTTCTCAATCCCATGCTTATTTTTCAGATTCTACTTCACCATGGCCCTCATGGAACAACAGATTTGAATCCAGGGCACCTTTCCTTCTACCTCTCCTGGGTCCTTTAAATACGATAGTGGCCTGTCTCCTCATGGCACCTTGTCTTTTTGTTTCTCTAATCTAGAATGTGAGTGTTCACCAAAGATAAAGTTGTCCTGGCTGAAACACCTGGTACCAGTTTCTACATGAGCATCAATTGTCATCCTGTCAAGCCCTAGACCCCAACATGTTGCCCCTGTCTAACATGAAGTAGTAAGAGACAGTCTTCGCCCTTTTCCTAACAATACAAGATAGGAATGAAAGGTTCTTGCCCTAGTATAAATTACTGTACAATTATGGCAGTGGTTTAATGTGGTGGAAGGCCAAAGTGGGAACCTCTCCCACTTCCTAATTCTTCTTCAGCCCCAACTGCAATTCCCCTTCCTGTTTGCACACACAGAGAATTCCAATTGGTTCCTCACACATCACCAATATCCACCCATGCGCCATTTCCAATCAGAGGTCATATAACCCTCTACCTCTGTATCTGGTTGAAGGAGAGAGCCCAAATGCCATGGTTTGTGTGCTCCTTTCCACATCCTCAACTCAATAAACCTGTTCATTTTGTAATTTTTGCCTGTCTATTAAGCCAGAATACTCTAACACCCAAGAAAATATCTGTATATACATAAACACACAAGTATTAGTGTAGAAAACAGTTTATTTAGTTAGCTTTTGAGTAAGGCAGCTAGCTAGGTGAAAAGCCCAAGACAGAGATGGTTATCCACTCCTATTGATAAGAACTAAAATAAGAATAAACAGTGAACTAGGACTCTGGACAAAAAATGAACTTCCTCAGGAAGCATGGAATGCAGCCTAATTCCTACCAAAAGAAGGCATAATCACTCCCTACTACTCTACTAAATTCTGAGGAATTTATAATAAAAAATAATTTTTTTTCTAAAATTTTACTTTCCTTTAAACTGTATATGTTGAACTAGGTTAGAAACCCTGAGATTCAATCAATCATTTTAAATCCAGAACTACCTGTCATAGCTGTCCATTAAACAACTGAGAAATTCTGTGCTCCAGTTATCTATAAGTAGCTCTGGATTAAGAGGCAAAGTAGCCACCTTCTCAGGACCCCTCCTAGAAATGCAGGATTTTTCTTTCTCATTTTCAGTTAAACTCTAACCCTGGGGTTCACGACTTCATTCCTAGATGTCGTGAGACTACAAACATGAGCTATCTGACATCTAACATGTTGTAAGTTACTTTTCCCATATCTCTAGGATATTCATCATAGCACTGTTTAAATTACCAAAATACTGGAACAAATTAATTCTTTAATTGTAGAAATATTAGAAAAGAAAAAAATTATAACATTTATAAAATATTATATAAACATTAAAATTTGCATTTCAAATTTTGATACAAGTATTTATAGCATGATCCTGAGTAAATAAATAATATTAAAATAGCACATATGTTTTTAAAATGGCACATGTATTTATAAATGGACATTCATTTGATAATACACAATAAATTGAAATTTTATTTACCAAATTTTTATGGAGTATACACTAAAGTGTAAAGCACTGTCTTTGAAAAAATACTTAGGTAGAATTTAAGTAGTTATGTACAGGAGAAAGGTAAAAGAAGGAAGAAAAACTTAACATTTAAAGAAAGATCATAGGAGTTGGCCAATAACTGAATACTAGGGCATACAACAATTATTTATAGGCTCAAGTCCCTTTTATCAGAACAAAAGCCAAGAAAAAGAGGAAAGAAAAGTTGATACTATTTGAGAACATACGGAGTTGAAAAAGTGCCCATAGGTTATCAAACTGCCCATCAGGTATTTGGAAATGCAAGATAAGAGACCAGTACTGGGATCAAAACTGGAGATAAAAATATGACAATAAAAAGATTAATACCCTCAGACAATTCAAATACTAGCCACAAGCAAAGTTTTATACTGAAAGATCCAAGAAGCTTCACCAGTTTTTAGAATACAATGTAGTTTACTTCCATAGTAAATAAAAGTCATAAATAATTTACATTTACTAGCCTCGTAAAGCCAAGGGACATACAGAATTTGGTAAGCAAAGCATAATTTTTACTACTACAGAATTTAACAATATAACACTTCTCATGACATCTCCCAGACAAGTTCTCTTTAAATGAAGCCCTTGTAAATTCACACTCCTGAGGCCCATGTAAACTCGTAACACTGTGGAACATAAATAAACCTAGATTTTACTGACAATTATTCTTGTGGAAGAAATAATCAAAACTTATAAGGCAAATAAAAGAGAGAAAAATGTGGCAGACAAGTTTTTGGGCAAACGTTCCTTTCTATTTGGCTTGCATGGCTAGATAATAATAAGTATCAGTTGACACTGGGACCCTACCTTAAAACAGTAAGAAGAACTCCCTAATGAGAATGTTATCATATCTTATTACAGTAAGAAAACATGACTTAAACTCAGGAAGAACATCAAAACATCCAATGAGACTTTGCCATTTAGGTCAATGCAAAATACTACTTGCAAGTATAATACAAATTATATTTCTGGTGAAAAACACACACACATAAATGAGAAGACAGTATGAACAGGAATCAAACTGTATTTAAAAACAACTATAAAATGACTTGGTCTCATTCAAATGTCTTGAATGATAAAACCTAAATACTATAAAGTGGGTAAGTATCATTAAAATTAAAATAAAGCACATGTAAAGGCAAAGGTAAATTTTTATCCTTCTGAGGATTGTTAGCTACCTTAGATTACCAGTTTAGTAAATTGATAATAGCTTATAGTCTGCATAGCTCCTAGTATAAGAACTAATGCTTATGTAAATGTAAGAGGGAAAGTAATTAATTTAAATACTGTTTGAGATAAAAGAATCTCTGGTATCACTCTACAAACAAAGCAGGTTTTCTATTCATTATGCAGTCTCATTTAACTTTCTAAATGATAATGCAGATTCAACACAGTGAGTCAAGATAAATACATAGTAATCCCAAATAAAGACAATGAGCAGAGTTCTGATTCAGCAAATTAGCAGCAGATCATAGTGTTCCATCTGTCATATGCTACTATTTCTCATAAGTCTGTTAAAGGAGGCTAAAAGAACGCCAGAGATACAAAACCATCTCTAAATTTTTAACATAGCAATCCCAAAACAAACTAAATGAACAGTTGCTACTTGTGAACATTTGTCTATATTTTAAAATTCAAGCCAAGACATTTGAAACAAAGTTTTTTTCTATTTACAAATATTACACTGCCAAAGCGATGAGCATCCTGCCATTGTATTAACTTTGATTACTCCTAGTACCTCACCTGATTGAAAAGGTCAGTACCATCTGATCCTGCTGCTCTCATTAGCTCATCTTCTCCACCAGGATGATATTCCATATATGGGCTGACATTATAAACAAACCCTGTATCAAAGCAAGGAGAAAAATTATTATAAATAAATTTTTAAAAAATTGTAAAACCTATAAATGGAAGTTCCAATATATCTTTTCTAATAATTTTATGTAACAAATCTTCACCAGCATGTAAAGCCTGAAATACCCGACATGTTCTCTGCCACTTCATAACCCTTTAGATTGACACTTAACCTCTCATAATTCTACTTCCTTTCTCATACATTAGGACCAATCTGCAGATAGGAAGAATATTGTTAGGGCTTATATCTAGATGTTACCCCAAAGGTCATGTGCTTATACGTGGGCTTTTGGTAGTGACTGGATCATAGGCGTGTGACACTGGCTCCTTGTGTGCGATAATCAGTGCACTGAATGGTTTAGCACAGCTCTGGGTATGGGTGGTGGAGTTACTCAAGAAGGAAGACCCAACCTGGGAGTGGGTGGAACAACCAATAGGCTTGTAGCCTGGACAGAATAAAAAGGGAAAGAAGAAAGAAGTCTTGGACCGTTTCTCTTCTGTGATGCCCCACTGGCATACCCGCTGCTTTGGACCAGCTGACTTTTTATATTTTTTATTTTGACTGAAAACTCTACAAACTATGAGCTAAAATGAACACTGTCTTCTTTAACTTGTGTGTGTTGGTACTTTGTCCCAGCAGTGAGAAAGTAACTGAGACAAACGTCCTATCCTCTTCAGACAGAAAAAACAAAAACAAACAAAAAACACCTATAAAAGGCTTATTTATAAGATCCCTCACAATAAGCAGTTAAGATTATCGGATAGTATTTTAGTCAAAGACAGAAGATTGAACTGCACATGGAATTTGTTAGTAATCTGCTAATTATGAGATATAAACCAATCACAAAACAGAACTGGTCCCACTCACAGAGGCCTCCCCCACCAACACTCACACTGAGAACTGAAATCAGAGCCTTTGCACTGAGCTACATCCCTAGCCCTTTTACGTTTTTTACTTTGAGCCATGACCTCACTGTCAGTAACTTTCTCCTCTCTCTCATCTGCTTATTTCTTTTCAAAGACATTGCTTTACAATTAAAAATTTGGACCCCTGAATACGACAGAAGAAAATAAATACACATTATGCTTTTCTTTCACATAGTTTATTATCCTCTCTTTGTATTATACATGGATTTTATTAAGCAAAGCTCCCATGTAAAAAGTTCTAGCCTGCTATGAGTCCTTAGTACTTGATTTTAAAACATTAACCTTGTAACTCTCTACTTTTTCTAAAGACATAAATTTTGTATTTATTTCTGTTGCTAATTGCTCAGGTGTGGTACACTTGAGTACCAGATGTCTATTAAATAGAATTAATATTTGTGAACCAAAAGACATGATCTCAAATTGATGCTGGGATCTTAATAAATAGTAACATTAGGAGCAGAAGTGATTAATAACCAAATATATTCCTATCATAACACAACTAGTAGATGAGATCATTTAGATAAGTGACTTTCAGTGGCACAAAGGGATTTAAGGAAGATTATTTTCACCCATGCATCCATCCAATCCCTTCTTTTATGCTGGTAATTTCTTTTGTGTCACACAATTTTTAAAAGCACATATTCAGAACAACAGTTAAACTGAGAAGCTATGAACTGGTAGTAACATGAGTATAATACTCATGACTTAGCTTCAGGCAACACTTAGTTTGTTCTCTCACCTAGTACAGGATTTATCTCTACCTATAGATAATTTATCCAGCATCTGCTTGAACAGTTTCAGTATATGGGTGCCCATCATTTTTTACAAAACTAAGGTTAAGGATCATCAGTGTTTTTATTCCCCAGCCCCAGATGGGAGAGAAGTGAGGCAAAGAAGAAGCAAAAATAAATAAGATATGATATCTATATGCACCAATTCCCCACAGTGAATATTTTACCATAAACATATATTAATACAATTTTTAAATTGTTTTTATATCTAAAATGAAAGCCATCATTTTACACAGAAAATACTCCTGTTACAGGTAGCTGAGTTAGATAAAAATCCTATAGGCAGTGAGACAGGGGTAGGCCATTGAAGGAACCAGTGCAGAAGTCCACATACATTTCCACCGTGGGAGAGATAAACACCTTCATTGTGGGCCAGACCTCAACACAAAAGATAAATCAAATGTACCTATACACTTCCTAAGGACAAGTATCAAAAAATTGATATTCTAAGTAGATCTCTACCACAGCCAGGAGTCACCATCCCAAACCCCTACAGGAAGAGTCGCTGCTCTCTAAGCATACCTGCTTGTTACATGACTCATTTCCCCATTTGTCCCCAATTTAACCAACTTTGCCTAAACAATTAATCTTACTGGTTAACCACAGTTGTGTCCCACCTCATGCTCACTTTATGAGTTCCCATATTTTCCCCACCTTTGTGGTTTTGCTCTATAAAATTCCTAGAAAACACATGGTCCTTGGCAACCCACTCAGGTTCTGTTTCTCTTAGATAGGAACTTTTTTTCTTTGAAGAAATATATTCTGCTATTAACTTCCATTATTCCTAAAATTCATTCTTCAGTTTTAGAGAACATAAACTCATACTGGACATCTAGTAGTTTAAGAGTTTTGTTCCTCTGTATCACTTCCATCTTGAAAAACAAAGCCTTATAGTTTTTCATGTAAATTTTTTATTTACTTTTAACTTAAATCACCAAGTGTCTCTGGTAAAGACTGCAGGCACCATATGATTAAGTATTTGCCTTTAAGTTTGTGTGTAAAAACTTAAAACTCACTCTAAAATGTGTGCAAGAAAATATGCCAGTTGCCTAACCTCCCTAACAATGCTACTATAACTGAGAATTTAATATAGTTTTGAACTTTCTAGCAGCCAAGGCCAAAAGAAACACTAGTAATGGTGCTTTTATTCTCTGGTCTTAAAAAAATACTAAGATAAAACAAAGAAAGACACATTAGCACTTCAAAAGGGAAAAACTATCTTGATAATGTGAGGAATTATGAAGATGACATTGACCACATAATAGATATCACAATTCAACAACATATGGAAACATTCTTCCTCTCTTCCCCAGCCCTAGGGAATGACTGACTTTTCTGTGTGAATAGATTAGAATATTCTAGACATTTCATATAAAAAGAATCATATAGAAAACCCTTCTGGACCTTGCCACGGTCCAAGGAAAGTTGTTGGAATTCTAATAAGTTAATTCTAACCTACCGTTGCAATGCATGGCAAGAATAAAGCACTAAGGCATATTTGCAGCTGTGGGCAGCTAAGGGGGTCCTAAGTCTAGCTAGTATGATGGCTAAGCAGAACAAAGGCCTCAGCCCAGGGCTGAACCTAGGTTTTATTAATTGGTGAAGAGGGAAGTGGATCAGGGGTGAGTGACTAAGACTGCCACAGGAGGTACATGTGCTGTGAGCTGGGCTAGCTGGGAGGCCTAAAATCACCTCAGCAAAATGCAGAGAATGACAGAGAGACACACAGGAACAATAACATGCATAACACTATTTGAGGCAGTATCTAATGTTTTGGGGTCAGTGCTTCAGTTCTGATGTGTAAATTTTTATGCCCTGAGAAGTCATAGCCTCTTACATAGAGGCTTGATCTCAGCCAACGGCGTGGCTACACAGCCCAGCTCACCCATGGTAATGGGTAGCTGTGGGCAAGGCTTCACTGACTTGTCACACTGCTTTAAGGACTACTCATCAGCACCTTGGCTAGACCCACTTGCATTGCTTAAAACCAATTGAGGGGATAAGGAAAAGTCATAGCCATAAGACTACATATCAATACACAGAAATAGGACCAGGTTTTACCAAAATGAAGATGACTGTTCTTCTTTCAAGGAGAATTGTCCATGTGGCCCTTCATAATTCACACAAAACATGGTCTTTTATGACTGCCTTCTTTCGCTCACCATGTCTGAGATTAATACATAATTTTATATGTATAAATATGTTCTTTTCACAGCTAGATATCACATGCATGGATATATTGTATGTTGTTCATCCATTCACATATGGATGGGCATTTAGGTTGTTTCCACCTATACAAGTTTTTGTGAAGATTTACATATTTCCATTTCTTTGGGACATACATAGCTAGGAGGAAAATTGGTAGGACATAGAGTGCTATGGTTTGGATCTTGAATAGTTAAAGGCTAAGGATGTCATTTAATGGTAGAGCATTTGACTAGCCTCTACAGGACTCTGAGATCAATTCTTAGTAATATAACAGAATGAAGACAGAAAGACAGACAGACAAGACAGACACAGGTGGATGGACAGACAGAAAGGAAAGGAAAAGAAGGGTCTATGACCCATGTGTTGATTGGGCTTGGTCCCCAGCACATGGCACTATTGACAAGTAGTAGAACTATTAGGTTGGCCTAGTGGAAGGAGGTTGCATCATTGAGACTTGATTTTGAACGGACTATTAAGACCCTGTCTCTTCCTATCTCAAATTTTGCTTCCAGCTGCTATGTGATAAAGGGCTTCCCCCACTGCTGTTTCCTACCATATATATACTGTCTTGCAGGGTACCAAAAGCAATGAAGCCAATGGATGGTGGATGAAAACATCTGAAACTCAGAAAAATAAACGCTTCGTCCTTTTTACCAGAGGTATTTTGTCACAGTAACAGAAAACATACATAGTATTTTATGTTCAACCTTTTGAATAACCCTGACTTATTTTCCATTCTTACAAGTGATAAACATGCCACATATCTCAGAGAACTAAATTCAGAACTGGATTGCAGCACAATCAACTATATCTCACACTGATATATACAACAGCACTTAAAGACATCACAACATAATATTCATAGCATTTTATACCTATTACTCTGCTTCCCAAAGCTATCATAATTTTCAGATTAAATAAAGATACATGGGACCACAATTATCCATTAATAAAGAGTAAACCACCATGAACACCATGGTTCATACTACATACCCACTAATGAATTTTCACTTCTTTATTCTCTTCTACAAGTCAGCAAGTTTCATGGTATTGTGCAGGAACTC